GAGACATCGTGATTTTAGAAGCAAAAATAGTGAAAATCGGATCCGATCAACAATCTACGACTGATGTAGAGACGAGTTTCGCAGAGGATTGCGACGAAACATCCCATTCGGAAATTCATGAAAAATCGTTGCCAATTTGCGAAAGCTCGAAATCATCCGTGGCCGAACAGGAAAGCAATGCATCAACTGCTTGCTCAGGAAGCATCAACCAATCCTTTCACGAAGCTGAAATAAGCGAACAAAACAAAATTCTCCCTAGTCAGGATATAATCCCGTGTGAACTTCCAGAATCTCGAGAAGCATCCCCTTCAAATGATCAAGATATCATCACGGAGGATCATGTTTCCACGCATGCCGTAGAAACAGAGAGTCTTCCACAAACTCCAAAACTTCACGGAACAGATGATAATGATGTTGTAGCCCAAGAATCGCCTTCGAGTTCAGTGAAACATGACGTTAGTGATAAGTCTTTGTCAACTAGACCGGGCTCAAATGCAGAAGTTGGAGCTGCCGACGATGAGAACGAAGAGATGCTCGAATCAACAGAGATCAGTAAGGAAGACGAGGTTGATAAAAGCGACGAACCAAGTTCGAAGTTCTCTCCGGAAATCGAACATGACACTATTTACCTCGCCAATTCGTCCGTAGAACCTGTTAATCCTCCAAGTATTTCAGCATTGGAAACTGTTCAAGATGAGATGCAAACGGATTCCGCGCCCACTTCTAAAATTTCTCCAGAAACCACTGAAGATGCAATAACACTGAACGACAAAATAGACGCCGAATCTCCATCCAGAATGTCCTCGAAAAGCGTTCAAGACGACACTGACACGAGTGACAAAATGGTCGCCGAAGACTCAATCACAAAATCCGTCGCTTCTCCAAGTGATCAACCACAAGTCCTCGATTCACGCGGAAACGAATCTCCCATAGCAGAGGCCATGGAAGAAGAAGAAGAACAACGTGAAACGCATTTTGCGACTGTCGAAGATCTTTCCAAAGACGATGCTTCAGCACTTTCAGACATCGCAGAAGAGAATTCAGACGCCGGGGAACCGGATGCTGCAAAACGCAGAATATCCGTGGACCCACACCTGTTCACCATCAGTTCGGACATAGAATCAAGCGGTGAAACTATCTTCGAGACCGGGTCCATGTTCTCAGAGTCCATCAGCGGCATTTCGAGTCCAATCGACGCAGATTTGGCTTCCCCGAGGGATGAGAACTACTTCGGATCGCACGTTCTTTACACGTCCAGCCTGTTTGTCACTTTAAAGGACGGCGCAGAGGAAGAAGACGATCACAACCGGAGTCTGGATGACGTTGGTGGTGGTGGTGGTTTGATGAAGCGAGATTGGCCGGATTTCGATGATGATGATGACTTCCGTCCAGAGCACGTCACTTCTATGCCAAAGGCATTCCTCACGCAGGTTTTCTTGGATCACGAACAAGAGCAGGAGATTCAGCGCAAGGAGTACAGGGACTTGAAGGTGAGAATCTTTCTCATGTATCACCCACATCAACTCCATGATCGCAAAGAAAAATATCCAGGGTGGAGTCATAGTAGAAGAAGGTCAAAAATCGATCGTCTTCAAATATCGATCACGCTTCAATCTTTCAGCACATCATTTATCTAAAGATTTCACGCAGTCGCTCGTAAAAACGAAGATCAGCGATCGAATCGTCATCGTCTCAATCCAAGATCTCGAAGAACGATTTTCCCTAAGTTAAACAATTCGGATATGGAACACACGTGACATCATCAAACATCAAAAGATTACAGATCAAGAGTAAAAACCTTGTCTAATACACTGAACTCGACCCAACCCTATGCAGTATTTTGAAAAACGTCGTTCCCATACTCGCACTCCAGTTCAATTACTTTCAATGGCTGCTCTAGTTTCATGCAAAAACGTTTCATTCAACAATTGTTCTCCAATTTTTCAATTCTCTGACATTCGCACATTCACTTCAACAGTGCTTGAAATTTCGAAACGTTCTCGTTTCTACAAATAAATTTCGTTTCAAAACTTGAAACATTTCCAAATAGCGGGAATGCAATTTTTTGGAGCAAAACTAGTTCAAAGATCGATTTCTTGCACTTGTGAGGGCAAGAAAAATGAACATTTTGAAATTTAGATTTTTCCCAGACGGGAGCTTAAAGGAACGAATCATGGAAACGAATTGACCAACTAGAGACGAAAAATAAATTGTCCTTCCGTGAGGCACCTTCCATTCTTCAAAAAATTGCATCGCAAAAAATCTTCGTAATTTTTTGACAAAACAAAATCCGTTTTCTTCGACGGAAGATAACCAGATCGGAACGAAGGGAAACTATTTGAAGTGAAGCGACATCTACGCAAAAGATCAGAAAAACCGTCGAATTCGCGGGTTTCGGGCTCTCGAATTCATTCACAAAAATGGATTTAAAATTTTCCAGGAGGAAACTGAAGTTGACATGCCAACGGAAGCAATTGGGGAGCTGCCCGAAGATTCAGCAGTTTCCGCAGAGCCGCCATCAGAGCCACCGCCGCCACCACCAATCGAGGAGGAGGAAGAGTAGCGTGAATCCACGCAAAAAGAAAGATCGGCTTCACTTCCCCCTTTTTTTCAGTTAGAAAACGGGGGCTTCGTTTGAAGTTTTTTCGTTTTTGTTCAAAGTGAATCATTACGCAGCAAGCTGGCAACCCTGAGGGTCGAAAAGAATTCCGTTTTGAATCCAATGCTTCTTGCATGCTTGCAAATGACCACTTGAAAATGTGTTTGCTTCAGTTCAAACCCTAGCCTCTTCATTCTTTTTGACCTCAATTCGGATGAACAATTTTAAATCAATGCATATTTATTGCATTTAAAAATTTTAAATTGTTTTCCCCTTCGGACACTGGCCTCATTAATTCAAGAATCAAATTAAATGGACTTCAATTCAAGCGAATAGGACAACATAAATGCAAAAATTAAATACAGAGGCTTTCACACATGTTACTTCTGGTTTTCATACGCCAAGACCAATGCATAATCTAAAAGAAATTATCTGATATTTACAAAAAGAAAGGAATGGAGTTTTGTGCTGTGACTCTTCAAAGAAAAACGGAAACATCAGGAGAGTCCATGTCATTAAGCTTGCAAAAAAAAAAATTGTGCAGAAAGCCACGTCATTTTGACTCGTTTTTATCGTGATTATTTTTGCTTTATATCTTGCCCCACAAAGGATCTGGGTTGCCTTCTCATCAAATAAAAAGAAACTGTGGAAAAAGTGAAATGGCAGTTCAATTTACCTTTGGTTCAAGTCTNGTCTCATACCCTGCCTTTAATCAATTAGATCTTGCTTTTGCGGCATTTGAATATTTTTCATTACTGTTTGAAATTCTGAGTGATCATCTGAAAGAAAAATTAGCTTCAATCATACATTCCATCAGCGGCAAAAATCTCTTCATTCTGGGAGGATAATTTATAGAATCGCTTGGACGCATGTTTGACATTGATTAAAGCTTCTATCCAAGAAACAAGAACCAGTCAGTGAAATTTAAGATGAGAAATTACACGCTGTGCCTGATTCAGTCAGGAAATTCCTAGAAGGAAAACCTAATAAACATTCTGTAAAAAAAAGTTTGCTATATCGGGATTGGAAGCTTGTCATAACTAGATTGTTTGAACAGGCGAAAAATGGGCTATGGGTTTCCTGCTGTAACTTGACAAAACGTTTGCATTTGTTGTACAGAGAATTTACTGCCTTTAGTTAAATGGTGACAGAATTCAGTACTACACAGTACTTTTCATAGAACCTAAGATATTCCTTTGACCATTTTCACTGTATTATAATTGAACGTGCTTGAACCTTCGGCAAGGCTTTCTCTTCAACAATTGATTATTCATGCCAATAATCCATGCCTCTCCCCTCCCAATTGAATTGAAGACATCACTTTCTAGAACGTCGGAAAGATGTCACCTGATTCGCTAAAATGGCTCAAGACCGAAGTACTGTAGCACAGCAGGAATTTATGAAGCTCCATCATAAATCTGAAAAATCAAGTCTAACCAAAATGAAATCGTGAGTATTTCTCTGTGTGTACCTTCGCCAAAACGAGCGTTGTTCTGCATACCCACTCAAGAGTATCTTAAACCGAATGAAAATAAATTTTTATTCGGTCAAATTTTGTAACTTTCACTTGATCGGATTCCTTCTCAACCTCAATTTGTGTCATTTAAATTTCTGTCGGCCTTCAGTTCCCAATGAAACTCGCGGCGACATTGTTCTTCTACTTTCCT